TTTCTTTTTTCCTGACGGAGAATACGATTATACCACGAAACCGAGACTTCTATGATCCAAATTCTGTTAACAGCTTTATCCCAGACTAGGATGTCCGGTCGGTTATGAGCCAGACATGCACTTGTCCAGATTGGGCTGTTCCAGTAAATCACAACATGAGGCATGTCTAGCACATGCGGAACATGTGTGTTCACATTATTTGCTACCTTGTACTTTCGCCGAATCGAGCTGTATAGAACGCGAGCAACATCGTCATGTCTCTCAACCATGATGGTTGAGCGCCAGTGGTTGCATACTGACACGATGTGCTCGGCTGTTTCTTGGGCACCGGGAGCACACTGCATTCGGCAGACCCCTCTAGCATGGGGCATACATGCCCTGCCTGCTGCACTGGCTCGGGTGAGTAGAGCACCTTCTTGAACAGCCCACACATTTCTAAGGACTTCTGCTGAGAGCCATCCCCTCGCCGACCACAGGAACGAGTCCTTGTAGCACAGTTCGGTTAGGTCCTCTGCTTCTGTTCTTTGCGTCCTAAGCACACGACCTGCCGTCTCTTTGCTTCTCCACGTCGACAGATGGAACTCGCCCCATCTTGCACGGATCAGCGCTGAAACAGCTCGCGCGGCTTCGGTTGCATTGAAAAATGTGTGGTCATCCACTACTATCGTCGCCAAAGAAGTTCTTCTAACCCTTCCTACGAGCCCATTAGCGACTAGCACCGCCTGAAAGTCCGTAGTTAGGGATCTCTTGTGGCTAGCCCGGAGGCTCTCTGCTAACTGGTAGGGGACGAGCAAGTCAGTTCTGGAAGCTACGTAGCACCACGTGTAAGCGATGCTACAGTCAAGCTCTTCCTCGACTAACTTTACTCCAAGCCCTCCATTTTCTCTCTTAACATACAGTCGTGCTGCACAGCTGTTTCCGAATCTCAGATGAGACTCTTCCATCAGTTGCCGCACTTCCATGTCAAAGTGTTTTGCACGTTTTTTGAGCGTACTCAACTTGCCGGCGCCGAA